ATGTGCTCCCTCCCAGGTAGCATCACACCAGCATGGCACTGGCATCCAAGGCCTCCTGGCCACCATGCCCCAGCTACCTAATTAGTGAGCTAGCTGTATACCTCGAACAACCCCCTTAATGACATGCACTGACAGAGGAGGGAGGGTTCGTACTCCCTCATTCCCTGATCCATGTGCTCCCTCCCAGGTAGCATCACACCAGCATGGCACTGGCATCCAAGGCCTCCTGGCCACCATGCCCCCAGTTACCCAATTAGTGAGCTAGCTGTATACCTGGAACAACCCCCTTCTGCAGCACAGAGAACAGCAAAGATTGGGCACGACAAACTAGTCCGGCCAGAGCTGAAAATTGAATTGACAATGTCTGGATGCACACCAAACAACCGTGTCCCATCGCCAATGGCCAAAACAAATGCTGGCAGAAGTGTCTCATAGCCAGTACGGGTAACTGGGTAACTGCTATTTTCAAAGTTCAGCAGAAGAGGGTCCCATACGAGGCAAGGACAAGTGAGACATCAGGGCACACAGGGAGCTCAAAGCTGGGCATTCACAGAAAAGACCACTAGGAGAGTGTCCCGAAGGATGCAAGAACAAGTGAGAAATCAGGCCAGATAGGGGAGGGGGCTCAAAGTTGACCATTGACCAAAACGAAAGACCACTCCTGCCCCCCAACAGCCCACCCCCCCACCGCCACCTCCATCCCCACAAGAAAAAAGACCCTACCCCCACGTTCATGTCCATGCTGTGAAATGCACACAACGATCAGGCATATGTAAAAGACAAAAGCTCATGTGTGCTACTAGACCAATCGCACAGTACTCGTACAACAGAATGTTTGAGCGAGCTGCCAGACGACATACACCAAGCAAACAGAGCAACTGAGCTCCTACCGTCTTCACCCGAATACAACGCCCGGTCATTATAGCTGTATTTGGCATAACTTCCAGTCCAGATACACTCAAAATGACCGGGCGTTCTATTCGGGTGAAGACGGTAGTCTACTATTCGGACCAAACACAGCACATGGCAGGTTGGTGTCCGAATGTACCGCAGCACAACATACGAGGGGAAACACGTGCTATCGGGTCTGATCCCACAGCATGCGCCCATCAGGCTGATGTTAAAGAGCACCACAGGAGAGTGACAGGACAACATACACCAAGCAGACGCAGCACCCAAACACCAAAGTGTCGTACACAGGCAATTGAGATGTGGATTGAGACTACCAGGAACAATCCGACTCAGAAGCAGACGCAACACATCAGGCTGACACCAAGCAGACGCAGCAACCAAACACCAAAGTGCACCACAGGAGAGTAACAGGACAACATACACCAAGCAGACGCAGCAACCAAACACCAAAGTGTCGCACACAGGCAATCGAAATCCGGATTGAGACTACCTGGAACAATACGACTCAGAAGCAGAAGCAACACTTCAGGCTGATGTTCAAAAGCGCCACAGGGCAACATACACCAAGCAGATGCACCAACCAAACGCCAAAGTGTCGTACACAGGCCATTGAGAAGTGGATTGAGGCTACCTGGCACAATACAACTCAGAAGCAGGAGCAATACTTCGGACCGCAACCCGCAGCCGGCTGCAGCCCATGTCAGAACGTCGACCATAAAACAAATGGGGTGATGATTGACAGAGCAAGCCAAGTGGGAAAAAAAACTCACCTTACAAATTTGCTGACTTTCGTCAACTATATCTTCAATTCAATGTTCTCACAAACTAAATCTACAAGAACGGTACTGACATGTTAGTTTAGGAATCAAGTACCCATGCATGAAAAGCGTTCACCGTAATACAAACACAAACGTGTACATGTGTGCATGTTTAAAAGGAGTGCACACAATGATCAAATCAAACATCCGTCTGCATGAAGGCTTCAGCACTTTGAAACCTTCACCAGCAATGTCAACCGGCGGAGCCCGACACTTCTAAAGTAACAACCTACTCTCCCAATCTCCACTCGCTCTTCTGCAAGGTAATTAGAAAATGACAAGACTCTTAATTCACTTCCGGTAAGAGTTTCCAGCCTGTATTATTCTGCGTCTGCATCGAATCCGATCTCCTTCTACCACTCAGGTTATGTGGGCACCTACCAGAGTAATAACCTCTCCTTGGCTCGATCTCGAAGCCATACCGCAACTGCCCGGTTAACTCGATTTGCAATTCAATACCAGAACTGTGTGCAGTCCTGTGTTCAGCTCCCGGACCCATAACTCTGCATTTGGTCCGACTCCCAACTCAGGCGTTGCACCTGGTCCAGTTTCCAAGACGACTAAGGTACCACTCAGGTTTTGTGTGCGCCTACCAGAGTAACAAGTCTCCTTGGCTAGGTCTCCAAGCCTACCACAGCTCCGCTGTCGACTCGATTTGCAATGCAAGGGCATAACTGTGTGCAGTCCTGTGTTCAGCTCCCAGAGCCATAACTCCGCACCTGGTTCGACTCCCAACCCAGGTACACCATGGGAGCTCTACACTGGGCTGCCGGTTAAATAATTATCCGTGCTTCCTTTTGCTAACAGGTCTCTCTCTCTCGAGTTTCCTTCATCTGGTTCCAAACCCATAACTCCACAAACGGGGTGCAGTCTCAGTGACAACTTAAGGTCTCATCGGGCAGCTAAGCTTCTTCCAGGCTTTTTCAGAAGTAGAACACTTTTGCCCAATTCCCGACAATCATGCTGGAAAACCGGTTTCCAGCCACATATCGATAGCCCCGGTTTTGGCTGGACCAAAATGTCGATTTCACTTTCCTTCCACGCGTGGGATGCGGTCGCAGGGACAATTGAAGGACTCGTCGGGCAGCTAGCTTCTTCCACGCTCTATCAGAGGAGGGAGGAGGTATAGCAGTTTTGCCCATTCCCCGATAGTAAAGCGGGAGAATCAGTTTCCAGCCTCACGTTGATAGACCCAGTTTTGGCTGGACCCAAATGTCAATTTCACTTTCCTTCCAGTCTTTGGGTCTACAGTCCAGTCGGAGGTTTCCTCAATAGGGGTTGGTTTCCTCAATAGGGATTCCAAACATCTTAATTCCACATTTAACCGACTTTTGACTGTCCTGTGGCTGCCAGGCAATTCTCTCTCCTTTGAGCGAACCACATGATCTACTTTTATCACACAGTAAAAGCCATCCCTCCTGGGAAATATTTTTCACAGCCATCCCTGAATCATACAGGGAAATCTCAGGGGAAATATTTTTCACAGATGTCAAGACCTAACACGGACCTGGTCTGGTTCTGGACCACGATCATCCCCCTCTGCAGGGAGAGGAAACAGTACTTCCTTCACACGGGAGAGATCTTTCTACAACAGAACAATCAAGAACCAACAGGCTGCTCAGAGATGCAAAGGCTACAGTGTAATATGTGTCAGAGATGCAAAGGCTACAGTGTAATATGTGGGAGGCGTAAAGTGGCTGGCTGGTTGGGTCCGCATGCCCTCGCCAGGACAATGGCTTACCATTCCTCCATGCTCATTCCATGAAGACCACAGCCTTCACACCACTCCAGGTCTGTCAGCCTTGAGAAACTCCAGAGCGATGCATCGGCAATTATTGTTCAAACTTCAAACTCCCATGACAAATGTAGCGAGGGGGGATGCTGACAACACTCCAGCTCCGGCAGCCTCCATCCGCATATACAAGACAAGAGATGGACTCTCGACAGACGAAGGGCACATACCAATCAATGGATGGCGAATAACGGTGCCCCCTACAATCCTCCCATAGTCACTTCAATTCTGTACAGATCCTGTAGAATTTGACATCGCCCAGACAGGTTGGCATACAGGACAAGGCAAGCAAGGCATTAGCTGATCAGCAATGGATCGCACACTAAACGAGGCGTCCGGCAATCTGTACTACAACCTGACTAGCGATGGTTGCAAAATAACAACACCAGCACCCCGCCCTGCACGCCACCAGCCAGCTGTTTTGGTTCAGTATCCAAACCCCGAAAAAATGCGGCTGTAAACAAGCCGCATATCTGATTTTCAGGCAGGGAAAGGTACTGGTGGTTTTAAGGCTAGGACTTCTACTAAGCTCTGGACGTTATTGCGGTCAGATTCATCCAGGTCAGGCGATAATTGCCATCAGACAGATTTAGGAAAGTAATAGTGTGAACCTGTGACGGCATACGAACAATAGGCACTCAAAATTGCAGCACCGCAAAATGAGACACCAGATCAAGTCCTCCTAAAAACGACTCTCTCTTACCGCTCATTTAGTGATTCTCTGATCTTGAGGGCCCAGTGTGAGCATACTCCGCGTATGCCCCAAGTGTGGCGGAAGTCCATGATAACGCCTTGTATCAAAATCACAGCACCTCCACTCTCCCAGTATCAATTGGCACTCAATACGAAAAGTGTACATACTGCACAAGACCATCTATCAGAACCTAAGCATCAGTTCCCAAGGCCCCCCAAACTACGGCACATCTATTACCGCACCTTGTGTCACAACAATACTTGAGATATTGAATGTGCAAGAAACATCTTTTTCCTTGTAGAACCCTGTAAAAATGAACATGCTGGCAACCTGAGACACCACAGGAAACCACTTGCAGTTCTTTTGTGAAAAATTGCAAGGAGCTCTGATATCACCGAAGGCTCCTCCCATGCACAACGCACATATCGCGCACAACAAGAACAGAAAAGCTGTTCTCGATGCTGTTTTCTTCCCTCAATTTTTCCATCTCACACTTCCAGCTGTCCCGCGTATGAGGGAGGACAAGACAGCTTGCATTGAAAAAAGAAAAAAAGAAGCTATTCCCCAAGTCATACGGCTCACTAACTGAACTTTACATAGTTTTCAATCGCCAAACAACAAATCAAGTTTTCAATCGCCAAACAACAAATCAAGTTTTCAATCGCCAAACAACAAATCACAAGTTCATAATAACTGGATCAATTACGAAGACCTAGTAAATGCATAAATAAACTTAGCAAGTTCATAATAACTGGATCAATTACGAAGACCTAATAAATGCATAAATAAACTTAGCATGGACATGACCTCCACCATTTCATGTCTGCCCTTCCAAAGGTATTCAGCCCCAGGGGAAATGGAGATGCAGGCTTTTTTTTATAGATTATAATGCTTTATAATGGAGAAGGTGGCTGAGGAATAGTAGGATGTGACAGCGAGCGCAGTTGATTTAGTTAGGGAACTGTCCTAAACTTCATCGACCGTAATTCCCTTTTTTCCTGTTTGGCCAGATTTTTCATAGTCTAGCACAAAGTACAGCACAGTGGTGCCCCAACGCTAGTGAAAATATAACCCGCAAACTTACCAGTCAGACTTCTCATACACATTGAATTGTGTTTTTCCACTGGATTGTAGCTTTTGCAAGAGCATTCATCCTCTCCATGATCGCCGCCTTCTCGTCCTCAGCCAGCCTTCCTTGGAGTAGCCCTGTGAACTTGTCAGGATGGAACCTCAGCAAAGCTGTTTTCATCTTCTTCCTCCTGATCTCCGGTGTGTCCGTATGTTCAAGGAACAAGGGATTGTCTGCAGGCGGCCACGGAATGTCTTGCAATCGAAGGGGTCGCGAACTCGCATTTACCTTCAGATCATTCCACATCTGCTCATATTGCGCATATCCAATTCCTTGCATGCCGTGTGTTCCCCTGCCTGCACATTATCAGGAAGAGAGGTCACATCGCACGGTACCAAAAGCAGAAGTCCTGAGAACAGACAGACAGCATACTAACCTCCTTCAAAGGCTTGAACAATTACAAACACTTTGAAGCAGCACGTAAATAAGCCTTACATCACCACTACGTTTCCTGCGGTTGGGAAAATGGGACATTTCAAATTTCAAAATAACCTACTCCTAAGAATTTGGGGACTGGTAAAAAAAAAAAAAAATACAGAGAGAGAATTTGGGGGCTGGTTGGTCCAACGACGGCTGAAGTTGATAAATCTCATCGGGGGCCGTCCTTTCCATTCCGGACTCCAAAACAGACATCCATCAGCGACACTTCCAAACAGCACGTAAATAAGCCTTACACCACCACTACGTTTCCCGCTGTTGGAACAATGGGAGAATAACCTACTCCTAAAAAAATTGGGGGCTGGTTGGCTCGATGGCGGTCGCCGTTGATAAATCTCAAATCGGCAACCGTTCTTCCATTTAGGCCTCCAAAACGATCAGGTACCCCGCAATGTGAAAACGAGACGCAGGTAGTGGTGCTTTAACAGATGTAGACTAACACGACCAGCGGTCCAAAGCATCCTTTTCCCGACTGCAGACTTATGCCAGGCCCTAAGAAACCAAAACCGTCACAGACAGCAATCTGGCTGGGACCACCACACTTTAGTTCTGATGGGGCTATCGGCAGGTCATGTTAACTTGAAGGGGTCCTTTACCAATGGCTGGGTCGTAAACTGGCAGTTTAACACATTTAAGCCGCCAGTACATGGCCCCAGCCTTGCACAAAGCTTCTGCTGCCACAAGCAAAACTGGGAGGGACCGCACAGCGAGGGGGCACTGAACAAAAAATTGGCAGCCTCCCAAGTGGTGCAGGTTTCATGCTGACACCTGCCGGCCGATGTACGGTGTACTGGTGCTTTAACATATATCAAAACCAGCAGCGAGACGACATACAACTAGAAGGAATCTACCAGAGAGAGGCCACAAAGCTGTCTTCCAATACAGGACAAGCAGGTCAAATGCGGACACGTGGACCAACTGAAAAATAAAATGTTCCACAGACAACCAACTGACAAACATGTTTAAACTTTAAACTTTAAAGTTTGAAGTCTTCCACAGATAGACAGCAGGCAGATAACCATGGTTACGGCGGGTGCGGACACCTACGTAGGACACGGACACCGGACCAGTGCAGACGTGTGGCAGACCGTCCAGATTGGAAAACCCCGTTTTTCCCAAAAAAAAAAAAAAAAAAAAAACTTTCCTTTTTTTCCCTTGGATTTGGCTACGGATTTCGAGATGGCCCTCAGCCAAAAGATTTCTGTATTGCGTTGTTGCACAACATATCTTTTTTTCAGAGATTTTTTAAGTCGGATTTTTTTTGGGTGGGGGTGGGGGAATGGAACTGGACACTCTGGACTGGACACCAGACCCGGACCGTCTGCACTTCGGTCCAGACGTCCGGATCGTAACCATGCAGATAAACCTTATCCACAAACGGAGGTACACTCAATCTGATCTCATCCGCCAGACCCAGCAAGAACATGGCAGAGAACTATCAGACAGAACACAGAAAGCGGCGGACGTATACTTGACAAACAGTTCAAGAATCACCACAGACAAACACTAAATTGCACAGAAAATATGGACATGCTGTGGTATGGAGCGGACTAAGCAGGGCCACAGCTTGGAAAATGCAGAGTATCAGGCGGCCAGCAGGCTCAAGAGGCGGTGAATCCCCTGCTAATTGTCTGCTAATTGTTTCTTATATACACCCGAAGCCAAAGACGACCCCGGTATTGGCCTTATATGGTGCTACATTAATGGAAGGATGGGATGCTGGACCCAGTTTCCAGCAGGTGCTGCTCCCCACCAATAGATCGGAGCCACCCTTAGCAGGTGCGGTTAGAGGGGATGCTCATATCACCCCCTCTAACACCCGGCACAGGGTTTTGTCAAAAAAACTATAAAAAAAAAAAATAGTATCCCCCAAAAGTAGCACAACCAGAAATAACGCCTTGCAGAGTGGCATTACAAGGAACAGCAAAATTTACATGGTCAACGACACGAGCGATGTCCCACACAACTTCACATAAAGCAAATGAATGCCACTGTGCAGGTCGTAAACAGCGTCAATCCAACTGATGGCCGCATTGCTTAGCACACGTCTGATGAAGACCGAAGCCACACCGCTTCCACGAGGTCAGAAATAACAAGACGATTTCATTTGAGTTGTGGAATGCTCACACTAGGGTTTTCATGAATGAATCAGACTGCACAATTGCAACTACATTCAATAGAAATAGTCAAAAGCATCAGTTTGCCTGCCCATTTCATACGGAAGGAAGTACAGGTGGGAGCTAACTCATTACCTTTTGATGCAACGGCGTTAGACGCTTGCTTCGCTGCATAAGCACGCCGCTGCTGCTCTGCCCACTCCCAATACTTACGGTCCATTTTAGCTCTATAGTCAGCCTGCGCCTTCGCTTCAGCCTCTGCATCTGCCCTTGATCTCTGTATTATTCCAAACCACCCAGGAACATGTACACAAATCAAAATGTTCAGAAATGCTTCTGCAGCTCTGGGCATCCCTTGAAAACCATGGTTTTGTAATGCATCTCGATGTGCAACTCGGGACGTTTTTCAGATTGATTCGATATCAAATTAGCTGCTTATTCTCCACAACTTCTGAATTGGCCTCACATCTCAGACAATGGTAGAGGAAGAGAGTCGGCTGACAACATCATGACACAAAGGTCTGGATTCATAAATTATGGATCCCATCACATTATCACAGCACTAAGTAGCCATTGGGTCACCGTCAAATCACCGGGGAGGGAAAGTGCAAGTAGAATAAGTGCAAATGGGCATAAGTGCACTAGTTTAATGCAGCATTAGGTCACGTTCAGCTTATTCGTGAGTTGTGCTGTTACCCTCCATGTGGGAGTAGCAGAGAAGGTGGGGGGAAGAAAGACTGGCTGGCTGCTAACTTGATCTCTTGGCAGCTAGTGCTTGACAGCTGCTGCTAATCTTGGACATATAGAGGGCCCTAGACTGACCAGCTCAGTTACAAAAAGAAGAAAACAACAAATCCTCCATGCTGCGGGGAAATCCATGCTCGTCTGAGGACTTCTAAGGTTAGAATGCACCCGGCATAGAGAGCCAGATTCAGGATTTGTGCTTCAACTGCCGTGTTCAGACCGGGATGGAAGAGTGTAGAGGTGGCAGTAACTCTTAAACCACCAGTCCATCAGACCCTAAATTCCCGAGTTTGCCTGCTACAGCACTCTCTCTCTCTCTCTCTCTCTCTCTCTCTCTCTCTCTCTCTCTCTCTCTCTCTCTCTCTCTCTCTCTCTCTCTCTCTCTCTCTCTCTGCATGCAGACGGCAGCATCCCATGCTATCGCGCTATCATCCCCCAAAGACAGCGCACCCTGACAATGAATGCATACAAGCTATCTTTCTGCTGCGGTGCAGCCATTAATGACGGTGTGCTGTGTTCCCGGCTTTCAGGGCTTCCCTCAAAGACGGCAGCGCGTTTTCACATGTGCTGTCCAGAGATCCAAAGCGGGTAGACTGTTTCAAACTTTCAGGGGTCTGTTGGCCCAGTCCCTCCAAACCTAAGTCCTCCTGCGTTGCCACTGTAGATTCGGCTGCAGCAGGCGTTCATGCAAAAAGTCTACAGTGACAGGGTGGACGGACTGGCTTCCCATCCATACGATCCACAACAGTGACAGGGCGTTCACACGAAAAGTCTACGTCGAAGAGCAGTCTTTGTAATCCACTGTGCTTCAAGTCGAAAGTCCAAACCATAGCTGTTGTAGTTTGCATCACCATGTTGCCAGGCTTCCCATCTATAAGATCCACAACAGGGAGACTGCAAACTGAGCTTCACCGAAGCATGTCACGGCCACAGAAGACTTGAAGCATCACTCCCCCCCCAGCAGTGGAAAATTGGCTTTCCAGGCCTTACTCAGCCGGTAGGCGGCAATTCAGAAGCAAAAAAAGAAAGCACCAACCTTGGGGATTTTTCACGCTCAGAAGAATGCAGAGAAAACTGAGAACTTGAAATCAATTTCCTACATATCGGAGTAGCATCCAAGGCCACGACTCACGAGCAAAAGATGGTATGCACAGTATACACCTAAAGGAACAAAGCGCTTGCCAGTTTCAATGAAATCGCAAGTTCTGGACTGGTATTGACAGCATTGTTGTAGCGAGACAAAGCATGAGAGGAGGTGTTAGACAGGGAGAAGGCCGAGCCAAGCTGGGCATACATAAAAGCCGCAGACAATTCACATTTCCAATTTCAAGGAGAAATCATCACTATACTTCCTGCAGCTCTACCTCAGGCTTGGGCTGAGCATCTTCATGAGGCTTTCCATTTGCCTGCCTTGCCGAAGCCTCTTCTGCCTTCCTTCTCTGCATGAATTCCTTCTTGCGAGCGGCCTCTTGCCTCTTCTCTTCATTTGCTGCTGCTCGTTCTGCCTTGCGCCTCTCCTCCTCTTCCTGCACACAGATTCCCACCGCATACCAACCACTCGTCATCTTCCCCGTCTTACACTACCACTCAGCGTGCTGTTCGGGAATATAGCATTGCTACACTTCCTGAAGAGTCACAAACGGGGGAGAGACAAATTCACGCTACTTTACAATACAACTTTCCAATCATATCTCACACGCGCAAGAGAGTTCAACTTCAAAAATGGTGTGAAAACTGGCTACTGTTCAAGCTTCCAAAATACTTAGTTGGACAAATCTGGTGGAGCGCCGGACGTTTCCAGCCAGCACCAACCCAACTTCAACGGTGCCCAACACACCCTGACTATATCCCAAGCCACATCAACGTCTAGACACACACATCCCATCGTACATTTTGGAGTCACTCGCATCACACACATCCCATCGTACATTTTGGGAGTTACTCGCATCACAATTAAAGAAACACCAGACATTCCACTCACATCACACGTTTTGGGACTCCCAACACGACTACAGGGAACCCAATGTGCATCCACCAAACATGAAATAGCCCATTGTTTTGTTAATGCCAAAACGCCACAACAGAAGCAGCCAGATAGAGTCCTAAAAGGAACGGAAAGGTACATTAAAAATCTCAGTCGCGAAATTAGCGGTGAGATAGAATCCTAAGAGGACTCAATCTGGCCACTTATTTTGCTATTCTGCGAATTTGCATGCCTGGTATGAGATTGCCCTGAACAAAGGAGAAGAGGGAATATGCGGGCAGGGCAGTGGGGAAAGATGTGTACTGTCCCAGTGATGTGTATGGCAGCATTCTACATCTGGATCATCCCGTGTTCATGAGAGGCATGTGACTGGGTGTCTGTCAGATGTCTGTATAACTAAATACTCGCTTATGCAGCAATGTGTTTTGGGACATCGGATTTGTATTGTGAACCAGTTCAAGGACTTGAGCAACACATATCGCACCCAAATGGCCCGAGTGCCCTTTATCTCATGAAGGTTTTCCAAATGGTCATGCGGAGAGGGTTACGAAACTCCCAGTGAATTTGCATCTTCATTCATGCTCATGGTGGGCCACGGGAAAAAAGTTCAGAAAACCTGTGAGCATACCTTCTTCAGCTCTGCCTCTCGCCTTTTCTCCTGCACACACATTGACAAATATCAACAACAGACTGTCTTAGCAAGCAGTAAAACAAGTTCAATTAAATGAGGTGATGCCCTATTCAGAGGCTTCAGTGATGCTATGAGATGCACATGGTGGCAATACATGATATGATGGAAATGGTGATGGTAAGGATGAGATATAAGACGCTAGTCGCAAGGCAACAACAAAGATGATAAAAACAATTGAGAAGGAGGAAGGAAGACGGATAAAACAATAAGATGGAGGCGGCAACATCTGCACAAGCAGGAGGAGGAGGGAGAAGGGAGGAGACGAAGAGAAGACGGAGGAGGGATGAGGAAAGAGAGGGGGATGAGGTGGAGGAGGCAACATCTGCACCAGCAGGAGGAGGGAGAAGGAGGAGGAGAAGAAGAGAAGGGGACGAAGCACGAGGGAGGGGGAAAGAGGGGGGCAGGAGAAAGCAGGGGAGGCAGATGAGGAGAAAAGATGGGCTCCAATTCCCGTACAAGACATGTACCAAAACAAAAAAAATGGAAATACACCACCGCTACATTCCCAGGCATTTCTGAGAATCGGAAATGTGACTTATCAAAGACTTTGGATGAACAAAGCTACCAGACCAAAATGGCTGGCGGAGCCAGCCACAAGAATGAAACAAACCAACGCCATGGCATTTCGGGAAAGCTTGACGCACAGAGGGAAGGCTAGGAGGTAGTGGTGGTGGTTTAAGACGATAAAAAAGTTCAGAGTGAGAGAAATTGTAACATTCTGAAGACTTCACATGAGCAGTGCTACCGGACCAAAATGGCTGGAAGCACTAGCCAAAGAAAAAAGGAAACTACCGCCATCGCATTTCTTTAAAATTTAAATGCTTGACCAAGGTAGCCGGACCAAAATGGCTGAGCAGACAACCCAAACAACGCCCCTATATCCACAAAGCATTTCCTTACAGCCATTTAGACTGGCTTACATTCTCTGCATGTTCCTTCACCGCATATTTAGAATCACTAGATCTGACCAGAAATTTGTACATGAACACACGTTCCATATCCACAAAGCATTTCTTTAAAGCCATTTAGACTCGCATACATTCTCCGCACGTTCCTTCAGCACATATTTCGGATCACAACATATGACCAAAATATTATTACAGGCAAGTTATTGCCGTCGTTTGCCTCTTTCGGGTAACTGCCAGCTGTCACTCGTTTCTTTTCTTGCCCTCTTCCATGAATGTTTATGTCTTCACTGCCCACAAATGACTGCCGAATTCGCAGAGCATTGAGTTGGTGTAAGGGTGTCACATCCTAATCATCAGTGAGCTAAGAGTTTGCTAGGCTAGCAGCATGAGTTAGAAACCTGTTGTCTGCGCCTCATTGATTACCATACAAGCCTACAACCCCGATAGGACATCGGCAAATGCAATAAACAAATCAGACATTGTGTACACAGAGTATTGCGACGAGATCATTGTGCACTTCCGCATGAAGACAAATCCAAATGACTCTTTATCAAGTGATGAGTGAGTGACCAAAATAGCAAAAGTTCAGTTTCCATTCGCAGCCATAGGCAACAGCAAGTGATGGGTACCCAAAATAGCTGTCAGCTGATAACTTGACAAACACCTGTGTAAATTCCTTTCTTTTCAATGATCGAATCGGGGGATAGGTAGTAAAGCAGCCGCAAAACATTTGCGGCAACGTCAGTTCTGGTGCTCACACACGGTACCATCCCCACAGTTTTGCACAGCCAGTTCAGTTTTCCTTTGACCAGTCACTTTTCTTTCGGACAAGAAATACATGTACCGAAGTGAGCACACACCTCTGCTGCTTGACGTGCTCGACGTGCCTCCTCCTGCCTCCTCTCCTGCCGCTTCCGTTCAGCTTCCTGGAATTTTCTCATGATATCTGCTTTCTTCTGTCTCTCGACGTCTTCTTGTCTCTTCCTCTCAAGATCGGCAGCCTTCTTTAGCTCCTCGTTCAGCGCTTGCCTATCCCTTTCCAGACGCCTTTGCTCTTCCAGCTTCCGCTTCAATTCCTCATCCGTTTTGCGCCTCTCCTCTTCCTGTTTCTTGGACATCTCCTCATAAAGCTGCCTCTTCCTCTCTAACTGAGCTCTCCTCATGGCCTCTTCAGCTTTTTTATTGGCTTCTTCAGCTTTTGCCTTCTCTTCTGCTGCCTTCTTAGCTGCTGCTTCTACGCGTTTCTTCTCTTCGAGTTCCCGTTGCCTCCTCTCTTCCTGGCGCTTTTCTTCCAACTCTTCCTGCCTCCTCCTTTTCATCTCCTCCTTTTCCCTCCTCAATTCTTCTTCCCGCTTCTCTTTCTCCATCCTTGCTTTTTCTTCTTCTCTATCCTTCCTTTCCATCTCCGCAACCTCCTCCTTCGCCTTCTTCACTTTCTCCTTTCTTTGCCGATCTCTTTCAGCTTCCATTTGCCTCCGTTCTTCCTCCTGTTTCCTCCTGATTTCATCCAGCCGTAGCTGTTCCCGCCTTTTCTCTTCCCTTGCCATCTCCTCCTCCCTGAGTCTCCTCTCTTCTTCTTCTCTGTGCCTCCTCTCCTCTTCCTCCCTGCATCTCCGTTCCTCTTCCTCTTTCCGCATTCTCTCCTCCTCACGTTGCCTCCTCTCCTCCTCTTCCCTATGCCTTCTCTCACGTTCTTCTCTCTGCCTTCTCTCATCTTCCCTCCTCTCCTTCTCCTCCTCTAGTCTCCTCTCCTCCTCTAAGCGTTTTCTTTCCACCTCCTCCAGACGACTTTTCTCCTCTTCCAGGCGCCTTTTTTCCTCCTCCATGTGTCTTTTCTTCTCCTCCTCCTCCACGCGTTTTCTCTTCTCCTCGAGGTACTTTTTCCTTGCCTCCTCAAAATACTTCATTAGCTCCTCCTTTCTTTTGGCCCTCCGCTCCTCGATTCTCCTCTTCTCCTCCTCCTCCATTCTCCTCTTCTCCTCCTCCTCCATGCGCCTCTTCTCCTCCTCCTCCATGCGCCTCTTCTCCTCCTCCATGCGCCTCTTCTCCTCCTCCTCCATGCGCCTCTTCTCCTCCTCCACTCTCCTCTTTTCCTCCTCTATGCGCCTCTCCTCCTCCTCCTCCATGCGCCTCTTCTCCTCCTCCTCCATGCGCCTCTTCTCCTCCTTGCGCCTTCTCTCCTTCTTCAGTGCCTCCTCCATTCGTTTCCTTAACTCCTCCATTCTTTTTGCTCTCTGCTCTTCCTGTCTCCGCTTCTGCTCCTCCTCAACCCTCCGAGCTTCCTGCTCTTCCAGTCTCCGCCTCTGTTCTTCCTCAAGCCTCCGAGCTTCTGCCTCTCTCTTCCTTTGTGCTTCTGCCTCTCTGCACCTTCTCTCCTCCTCCATCTGTCTTTTCTGCTCCTCCTCAGTGCGCTTTTTCTCCTCCTCTTCCTCCTGCATCCGTTTCTCCTTCTCATAGTACCTCATCCGTTCCTCCTCCAAGCGCTTCTTCAGCTCCTCAATTCTCTTCTTCCTTCGTTCCTCCTCCTCTTCGAGCCTCGTTATTTGTTCTTCTCTGGCTCTCTTTTTTTCGTCTCTCAATTTCTGTGCTTCCTGCTCTTTCCTCATTCCTTCCTCTTGCTCCTTGCACCTCCTGTCTAATTCCTCCATCTGCCTCACTTTCTGTTCCTCAATTTGCCTCATTTTCTGTTCCTCGATTTGCCTCCTCTCTCTCTCCTCCTTGCACCTTTTCTCCTCCTCCAGGCGCCTCCTCACCTCCTCCATTTTTTTAATCCTCTCCTCCTCCATTTTTGTAATCCTCTCCTCCTCCATTCTTTGCTTCTGCTCCTCAACACTTCTGGCCTCGTCCTCTCTAAGGTTCCTTTCCTCTTCCTCCCTCTGCCCCTTCTCCTCCTGGTCCTGACTTTTCCTTCCATCCCCTTCCTTCTCCGTCAGCACGTTCAGAGGTTCAGTGTGTTCACGCATGCCTTGCTGCTCCAATATTACTTCCTTTTCGGTTCCTATGTGTTTTCCTGTGCCTTTTTTCTCCCTCACACCCACATCCTCCTCTGCTCTGAATTCGTGTGCCTCCCTATTCTTCCTCACTACGGTGTCCTTGTTCTCCTTTATTCTGCTTTCTTCTTCTGTTCTCATCGCTGAGCCTTCCATTTGTGCCTCTTCCTGCCTCTCCCACTCCACAGCCTCCTCCTTACCATGCCCCAGCCACACCTTTCCTTTCTCCCCTGCACATCTCTGCTCAACCTCCTCCACATACAGTCTATCAACAGCATCTTTCTTCTGTCCTTGTCCATCTTGCCTCCTCGTTCCAATCTCAACACTCAGCTCATCCACATTTGGCGGTACCTGACTCTCCCCAATCTTCCTCTCCTCGTCTTTCTTCAACTTGCTCAACTTCCGCAACGTCTCAGCCTTCACCCTCTCAAGTTCCTCATCATTTTCCTGCGGTTTTCCTTGGCTACCTGCATTTCTGAACAGCCCTGCTGAACGTCTATGCTGCAAATCTCCATGAGTTAAATCTACAACATCTATAGGACTGGCAGAATGTTGACGCTCTGGACCAGGCGATCCTTGGCAATGACTCGAGTTACTCGTTGCTTGACCAGAAGAGAGCCTGCACTGTGGGGTCGTCAAATCAATGACCTCAACATCACCCCCCCTATACTGGACCCCATGATGTAGTCCTGCTTCACCGTCGTCTTCTTTAAGATCCGCTTGCGCGGCTGGACGTCTGGGCTCTGGAGTCGTCAAATCTACAAAATCACCACAAGTGCCATTAAGCTGTGCCTGCAAAACGAAAAGGTACTTTTGTGAGATGGCCATCAGAATCATAGGCCAGTCCTTACCCGTTCTTCCTCTCAATCAGTTGAGGCAACTTCCAATTTTCCACGTAAAAACATTGGAGTGCCCAACTAACATAACCGATCCTCAGCTCCTTCCATATCAAAACCGCAGGCGCAATTCTTTTCAAGCGCCAGCATGCAAAGTGTCTGTTAAAACACTGGCAATTTCAACAGGCAATTGGAAACAGCTGATACTAGAGCCCTGGACACCCATTACATGAAAAAGTTTCTTGTTGATTATTAGCACAAAGTCTCAAAGAGTGGGCCGCCAATTTCTGCAGCACAGACATGCACCCGTGCTGTGTAGTAGCAAAGGCTGAGATAGGCCGGCGGACCAGAGTCCACTGGCTTGTTAACAACAAGCACAAGATGGGTTTCAAAATCGGTCGACCGGCGCAAACACAGCATCAGATGGTGCCCGGCCCGATCAGTAAGAACAAATCAAAATGGCCTATGGCCTATTGCAAATGACCTCAAAGTTTCATCTAAAGGGCAACTTCGGAGACTGATGGCAGACTCCCAATTGTTTGTACTCCCCAATCTTTCCCTGATAGATGTGATTGTGAGTGTACGCACACGGTATTTTAGATCCAAGTGTTTTGTACCTTGTCCTCCCCCCAGCCCGCAACAACGCCCAGGGTCACAACATAAAACCCACCTCCGAGGCGATCTTGCGTTCTTTTCCATGCCATCCCCTAGCCCGTAACCATGTCCAAGGAGCTATGTGCACATGTGCAAGTACTTTTTCACACTCGCATTTGACATTTTCAATGGCTGGCAAATCAAACATATAAGCCTGTCTTTCTTCACCATCTTCTCAGAAAATTTTGCCGCATTTTGGGAAAGCATTAGTGTGAGCCCATTCGGGCTTATCACAAAACCTCGTGAGCGGAAAGATAAGAACCAACAACATGCACACCATACCGAAATGGTGACAAGAGTTCTTCGCGCATTGTGAATCAGTGAAACTAGTAAGTCAGGACCTTGCTATCATCGACTTCCTTCAAATTACATATGGCTGATATGCGCCATATATGGCTACCGGTCTCACTAATTCACTCAAAAAAAGCGGGAGACAAAAGATAACAGTGTTAACAAAAGACCATATAACACACCAGCCGTATGTTATGTTATGCCTCCTCATTGCCAACTCAACTTCCATGCACACATCTGAGAGGATCGCAGCAAGAGAAAAGCAGCTGTCAATCACCCGCATAATTTCCACCCCATTATCACCCCAGTAAGGTCTCTCTCCCCCAAGTACAGCACCGTCTACCTTCTAGAGCCTTCCTGCTCTCTGCATGTGGACGAGAAGCGGGGAAAGCAGGGACCATCACTCAGACTACCGTCTTACCCAAGTGGAACATATGGTCACAGATGCAGCTATAATGACCATATGTTCTATTCGAGGCAAGAAGGTAGGGAAGCGTTTAGAATCTAAACATACTGCACGCCAACTCTGCAATAGCCGGATGGCAGGGTCTTTGTCATGTTCAACGACACTCGAAGACCCTGCCACCGGATAGTGCAGAGGTTGAATGTATGTTTCCATCCACCATATGTATGATGCCGCACATCATAGTACATGCGCTCACTGGAAGAAAACTCACCCCGCCCTCCTTACTGCCAGTGAGTAGATGGTGTTCCAAGTCATGCTTTTGAATGTAGTGGGACGGGGGGTATGCTCACCTCGGCTTAAAGGTTTGGAATGGAATGGATTGAGGCGACGGTAGGATAAGTAGGCACTGAAAGGGTGTGAGCATATAGAATGGGTTCTGGATTTGTGTCGTATTATCGTTTGTCCATTTGCGGTGTGGTTTTTGTTTTGTTTGGGATTGGATAGATAGACCGCGGACTCTGAGTTTTTTTGGTTGTCGAGGATTTCGTAGGGTTTTTTCATAGGGTTGCGGAGGATTTCGTAGGATTTTTAACTCGCACAAGCTCTCAGCGATATAAAAAACGTTCTCAAGGGCGCGAAGCCAGTAGCAGAATGCCCGTAGATCTTGAAAGTAGAACTGAGCTGCGAGAAAAGAACAGCGGGAAGAGCAGGTAAGCCTGCGAAGAGGGTAGACGACTGGTCGCCGTTTCTCCGTTTGTCTTTTCCGGCGGATTTTTGTTTCGTAGGATTTCGTAGGATTTTGTAGGATTTCGTATCTCCCGCAGCCCGCAGTGATAAAAACGTTCTCAAGGGCACACAGTCGGTTTGCTGTTTGCCCGTAGGTTTTGAAAGTCGACCTGCACTGCTAAAAAACAGAGGGAAGAACGGTGAAGCCTGCCAAGAGGAGCAGACGACTGATCTGGGAAAACGAGTGTGAAAAATAAGTTACTCGGGGAAGTGTGGGTGTACCAACCGGTAGAAAGCGACCAGGGTGACAAGGGCAAATGGGACTTGTTGAAAGAACTGAGCCAGCTGTAGCTAGGAAACGGAAGCTTCCTTTGTAAAGAAACTTTAGTAGGCCATAGCAGGCGACATCAGATGAAACTCAACTATAAGTAGGGTCGTAGGTAAACCTTAATCATCTCGAAACGCCCCCTGATGAGGTTGCTAACTGGCAGCAACCGAAACTAGTCGGGGATGCCAGCTCCTCGGTCCTGATGACGGAGCTGCCATAGTTAAGATATGGAATGTGCTTCATTGTTGTATTCTGCGGATTTTTTCGAGATCATTTTCACATACTGCTGCTGCGCAGCGCAGCTATGTGTTGGGTGTTCGTCGGTCTTGACTGACTTTGCTATTTCTATTACTTCGAATGTATACTTCCATGCAGCCACCATATGCATGTTGTCGAGCATCATACATATGTTTCCATGAAGTTAGAGCCAGACCCCACCCGTGCTATGTTTGTGCTGCGAAAACACAAATCAGGCCATCCTAATGACCAGGGTCATGCTCCCTTACCCCAAACATTGTCTTAATTAAGCCTGGTCTTTTGAACCCTTTGTCCCACAGTGATCTGTTATCCATCCTCACAGATATCTCGGAGATCTTCAAGCATTCTAGTAGAAAATACCTCCTCAACAACCCTTTGGAGATGAGGCTAGAGATCACAAGCTCCAAAAGTTTTGCAGCTTTTTGAAATGCTTCTGATATCAGACTTGTCTCAATCTCGCTTGCAACATGCATACATGTATCTGCCGATGGAAAAACCAACTTCATGAACTCAGAATCAGCAACGAACTTGCACCGGCGACATGCGCCCACACAGAAAACTCAGAAATATGGCCTCTGGCCAGAAACTCAGTTCAAGTCAACTGTTACAACTTGCGGCTATGGCCGCCGAACACTGTCTGAAGTCCAAACCGAACACTACCTCCACCATCAGCCTTACTCTCACTCACGCATACACGCACGAAGATTCACCCTGAATGTCCACACACACACACACACACACACACACACACTGCACTCTATGTTGACATCAGCAGCTTGGCAGCTATGGCCGCCGTCGTCTTCCTCTGCCCACTTCAGCTTCGGGCACCTGCAGACCTCCACACACGAGTCACACACTGGGAGCACTTCCCCATGCCTTGCAGGCGAATGAATGAATGACTGGGCGCTGCTACTTTATTTATACTATCGTGGACTGGCCAGCCCTGGCCCTGGGCCCAAACCGCATAAGCCTGTGGGGCCCAAACAGCGTGGACCGGTGATGCCCCAAGCCGCAAGGGCCTGCGGGGCCCAAGCCGCATGAGACTGTGGGCTCCAAACCGCGTGGGAGCCCACCTGGTACTTGCTGACTGGGCGAGGTAGACTGGCCTACTTACTGACTCAAACGCAGTAGACTGTCCTACGACTTTCTAGAACCTAGGACTGACTCTTTACTAACAGCTAGAACTAACTACGGACTGACCCTTACACTACCGAAGAGCCAGGTAGAGGCACAAGGGCCCTACCTAAGCCTAACGGTACCACACAAAACTACTAACACGAGGGGCTGTTGTTCAAGACCTACGGTTGACTAACACCCAGACTAACCTACCTAAGGGATTTAGGGGCAGGTCGCGGGTTCAAATCTCACATAGGGTTACAGGGTCAATGTACAGTGCTAGGGGGTAGGTCTAGGGATCGAGTCCTGATGTCAGCATCTGTCGAGTAAACTCTGTGAAACCGTTTCAGTTCCACACAGGGTCCGTACTAACGTGTCCAAAAATGGAAAGAGACTAGGACTACCTGCGGAAAACAAGAAAAAAAGGATCGGAATACGACATGGTACAACCATGAACTGTTGAAATACAGGCCTCTGTTCGATTCCCAATGAACTCAGAGTGAGTAACTGTGAAAGTATCTGGGGCCGGTCAGTTTGAAGATGATACCTCAAGGCCGTTACCCTTTTGGGGGTTTGAGGGGGGAGAGAAGGGAACCAGAAAAACAAAAACTTGATATAGTTGGGCTCGGAATATGACAGGTCTCCAAGCTGAAATCGGAATATTGCAAAGAAAAAGGGTAACGGCCTTGAGGATGATACCTCCAGGGTCAGGTCCCACCGGTGCCACGTTCATACTTGGAAGATGATACCTCACAGGGTCAGGTCCCACCGGTGCCATGTTCCTACTTGAAAGGGCCAGGTTCGAGCTTTTACAGCACAAACAAATGGACTGCCCCAAGGGCCCCAGAAACATAAATGCTGGTCTTGGAATACCATGGCAACAGGGGGAACATAGATAGAGCCTAGAAGTCCATTGGCACCACATGCTGGGAAGGAAGGAGAGCTTCACTCCGCACAGTGCACTTAGACCTTTGCCTTCTGAATAGCTTCAATCCGTGGGCATTTTGAGTACGATGATTGCAGGGACGTCCATCTAGGACTTCTTGTCTCTCACAAGACGGCAGAGACTCAGCCTGTACATGAGAGAAGTGGATGGTGCTTTACCTGTGTGAGAGGAAACATAGAATTCCCGACCTGAAGGTTGCCTGGGAGTGCCTTTTCCGCTCACAGATTTTTCCCACTCTTCCACAGCCACCTCTAGCCTTTCTTCCAGATATCCGCGATTTTCTGAATTGAACTTAGTTTGATTTTGTTGTCGTATCTGCCATTTTCTGAATTGAACATAGTTTGATTTTGTTGTCGTATCTGCCATTTNATTTTGTTGTCGTATCTGCCATTTTCTGAATTGAACATAGTTTGATTTTGTTGTCGTATCTGCCATTTGCTGAATTGAATTATTGAACATAGTTTAATTTTGTTTTCGTTTAGGTCGTTTAGTTGGTTAGAGAAACTCAGCAAAGGCCTGAAAAAACTTAGTGTCACTGGTTCGAGTCCAGTTCGAAACAGGCACGTTCAAACGGATATCTGGGGCAAAATTCCTTGAACTGACTTCCGTCGAGATTTTTGTGTTCAGATTCAAGACCAGGATTTACAAGGCCTCGCTGGAAACGAATTATGTTAAGATCTGTGCAGTAGTTTGGTCAGTAATTCCATGCGGAATATGGTTTCGTTTCACACTTTTGCACTTAAATGCAAGAAAATCCCCGCCCCCCCCAAAAAAAAAGAAAGGAAGAAAGAAGTCAAAGAATCCAGAATTCAACTGAAATGAAATCACTAAATGACTACAAGCTGCAGCGAATACCCAAGGCATCAAAGATGCATTTTCTAAGAGATCCCAAAACCACCAACCGCCCCAACCTACCTTCTTCCCCCGAATACAACGCACCGTCATTATAGCTGTATTTTGGGTATGTTTCAGTCTACATACAGCTATAATGACCATGAGTTGTATTCGGCGGAAGAAGGTAGCTCATGATAAGCCCACCAACTTCCTACAGTTACAATCCCTACAGTTACAATTCCTACAGTTAAAAACTTAAAATTCCTACAGTTAAAATTCATACAGTTATAAAAGACCAGCACGGTAAATCCCAAAATCGTACCAGTTTCAATAGGCACTTCCAAGAGGTTGCATTAACTATGGTGCAAAAAAACAAAAAGAAAGTAAAAGATACAAGATGGTAACCCACCCTGTAGGAGGAAAAACTCCCACAACCAACAGAAGTGGGATCCAGGATATGTGTCGAATATCGGTATTTCATAAACACAGACAAATTCATACCTTCCTTGACCACAGTTCTAGAAGGTTGGTTTGCCTCTTTGAGTCCTTGGTCGCCTTTACGTCAGGCGTCTTCCTCTTCCTTCCATGTTTCTCAATTGCTGCCTGCTTATCACATCAGCAGCAGACCAAAACTTATAAACTCGACAGCAGAGCGTTGTCATCACAAGGAATTGGATGCCCCCTCCAAGTTTGTCCTCAGAAGGAATTGGAGGTCTGCAAGATCTTTTCTTTTCACAAAACTTTCCATCCCATTCAGGTGAGCGGCAGTCCTTTCTTTTTTTTTCAGTCCTTTTTTGGATTGTTAGAAACCACAATTATTTTTTTTTCCAGTCCTTTATTGGCTTGTTATAAACCCACAACATGCACGCACGCCTACCCATCATGGCTAGGAGACCCCAGTATCACACTGTGGCAATCCACAGTCTCTAAGCTGTTGTAAAACAGTTGCCTGATCATAAGGACTGATCCGCTCTGGCAGAACCTTTGTCTTGGCTGACAAAGCATAGAAACACACAAGACTGATGCACGGAGAAGACGATGCACAACTGAGCTGCGCCCATTGCTACAATGACGATTTCGGTTTGGTCTGTTACCCATCTCTTCTCCCTTCCAAGGCTCAGGTTTGTGTGGACTGATCCCGCCCGGATTCGAACTCGGGTCATCATTTTTTCCCTTTTGAATCAGACTAACTTTTTGGGTCGGTGGGTGTGCTATTGCTTCATGCTTCTCAATATGTGGGCTCAGCCATGCGTTGGAATTCAATTTTAGCATGGAGCCATGCATGCATCCTAATGAAATATCCGCATACTACCGAGCACAATTGTGATTGAATAGGCCAGACGGTGATGTGCAACACTTGCACAAGGCCAAAAAAAAAAAAAAAAAAAAAAAAAAAGAGACAAACCCACTTTTCAACATGCAAAACAGCCATGGTTACCCTCCTACAACGGGAGAGGGAAAAAAAACAAAAAAAAACAAAAGTTATTGGTCCGCTCTTCTCGTGATCAGTTGACAAAAACACAACGAGAGGTCTCGCCACATCGCTCACCAAATATGCAAAACGAGAATGTACTTTCAGCTAGAACGAGGAAAGATACATCCGACAGATATCTGTCGTTTTCATATTGAGACGTACAGAGGGTAACCATGCGAGAGACTTGTGCGTCTCAGTCCAAAGTTGAAACATCCGTGTGTCCATCGGGGCATTCGTCAAAATTGAGACCTACAGAGGAGACATGCGCAGAAGGAAAAATGGGGCAATTTCTTAAACGAAAATAAAATAAAAAAGAAAAAGAAAAAGAAAAAGAAAGAGAATTTACTTCAATTAAGTTTAAATAACTGAAAAAAGGTGGACAAGGTTGAAAATAGAATAAACCTTTACTCTCGCCCAAATTAAATAACTGAAAAAAGGTGGACAAGGTTGAAAATAGAAATAGGATAAACCTTCACTCTAACCCCCCCCCCCCCCCCCCCCCCAAAAAAAAAGAATAAATCTTTACCCACCGTTCCAGGTTTTTCTGTGCTCCGGGTTTCACATGACAACTTTGCGGGACTGGGGGCCAGGCCCAATCTGGACTAGGTTCATGCTAGGAAACCACGAACCCGGACATTATACCGGCCAGGTTTATGCTTTCCAAGCATACACATAGCCTCAGTGGCCCCTGACACTTGAGGATCCACATGAGCTTTGCTACAGTTGAGCCTTATCTGGCATGAAAGCCCACAAACTTACATCATCCCTCTTGCGCTTTTCAGCCTGCCTAACTCCCATGGTCGTCTCCTTACGGATGCAAGCTTCACATATGTCCGCGGCATTAAGCTCTTCACCCTGCAGACTCTTCTCCAGCCATTCAAGAAGCCGGGGGAGATCACCTGTACGTGGTGAGGAAAGGAGGACATTCGAATCCTTTGTCTCTAATGTCGCCCTACCTGCACGGCAAGCATACCGAAGTATTTCGAAACACAGTCAACAACCCATCGCTGTCTATACCAAAAGCCCCTCCTCTCCATTCCTCTCTCTCTCTCTCTCTCTCTCTCTCTCTCTCTCTCTCGCGCGCGCGCGCGCACACACGTTTTGTGTACACAACTCTTCAAAAAAGCATGCCTGTGCCAGACTGTTTCGTCATACTTTCACCTACTCATCAGGTTGAACAGCGACAGTCTGTCTAGGATGCATTTGAGTGACGGATGATTCCACAGAAAAAGCATGACACTGCCAGACTGTTTTGTCGCAATTTCACTGACTAATCAGGAGTATGCAGTCGGTCGACGAATATGCGTGTGTGTATGTGTGTGTGCGCGTATAACAAGAAGTGTTAAGCTCAAGTGTTCTACATCATCTACTATTTAAGGACATAGAGTATACTGATTCGTATCTGGATTCGAACTTGGGTCTGCATTTCAACAGTTCGTGGGTGTACCAACTGAGATAGGCCCGTTGGAACTTGGTTCTGCATTTCAACAGTTTGTGGCACCAATGGTTGGTTAATAGGTGGTGTCATTTTCGACGAATTTTTCACTGAAATTGCCATACTGTGTAGCACACCCAACATGTTTGAAGCTTCTCCGAACATCCCAACATGTTTGGGTGCTCGGCCAAACGCCTCCCGAACGTGTTCGCTCGAACATATTTTAAAAAAGAAAAAAAAAGAAATCTTGTTTGTTTTGTTTTCGATTTTCAACTTGAGTTCAGTTACGAATCAGAGTTTAAACCTCCCAGGCAAAAGTTGGGGTTTGCAAAAAAAAAAAAAAAAAAAAAAGACAAAAAAAAACAACTTGGGGTTTGTATTTTTATCTTACATAACATCTATTTTTTCAGATTTTTCTGAGATTCTTTTATTCTGTAGTTTTTTTTAATGCTCGCATTTGGAGGGTTTTGGTGCTCGTTCGCGCTCGGTCACGAACGTTCAGGTTCGGTCACCAAACCCGAACACAACGCTACACAGCTGCCATATTTCCCCGAATTTTTGCTTTTTTTTTTCTGCTCTTGTTTTTGTTTGATATGTATGTGCTTTAGGAGAAAATCGGTTCAGACGTATTTGGACCAGTAACTAAAAAGAAAGTTGGCAAAAACATTTTATAGTGCTACTCCAAATAATTTTGGCTAACTCCCAAAAAGCTACTCTGAATAAGGTTTTATAGTGCTTTTGCGTTTTTTTTCCAAACGAATTTTTGCCTTTTTTTTTTTTTTTTTTTTAACAGAAAACGAACATCTTTATTATCCAATTATATCTCGGGCCGGGGACCCACAATTCCACCCGCAGGAAAGGGTACTGACAGCATCAGCCATCTTAGCTTAAGGCCTCTGTCCTGAGAGGAGCATAATACTAGGAGAACAGGTCCGGCCCTAACAGGCCTCTGTCCAGACAACCTCTCCCCTGTGCATTATACAATTCTGCCTTCGAGGCCCTGAAAGCCAAACAATCCAAAAAAGAAACTAACAAATTCAACCACCAACTACCTAAAGAGAAACCTTATGCTCAACCCCCCACCTCACAAATTCAACCACCAACTCCTTCCACTCCTCTTTGTCTCTGCCTATCTCCAGCGACCCGACAAGCACCCGCCAACCGAGTTTCCTGGTTTTTATCCTAGTTCCATTTTCCTATTATTCCTAGTACTTGGTAGAACCAGTCATCCAAGATAACCTTTCCTGCCTCCACTCTTGCAATTTTTTCTATGTTTGCATTGTTTTTTTCCCCCCCCCCAAAAAAGGTGTATGTTTGTATTGTGAGCCAACATTGTTTATTTTTGAAATTTTCAACAAACATTGCTTGCGAAGATGTGGCAAAAAACCATTGTTTGAATTTTAGGCCTTACATTAACCATCTCTCGTTGATGGGTGTACAAATTGAGATAGGCCCGTTGATACACACTCTGGGGTATTTTTTTTCTGAGGACATACAATACAACTTCAGACCACTGGTATCGCGGTGCTGCTCTCTAGTTTTTAACGAGTGATTTCTTTTCTTTTTATTACGAGTGAATTTTCGGACGACAAAAATGTTAAGGATAAATAAAATAAAAAGAGAACGCCACCTGCCAGGTCTTCCCACATACTCTCGGAATTACCTCACCAACTTTTTGTTTTTTTTATTCTAAAAATATTAGATTCTAAAAATAAAAAGGCTAATTCTTTTAAGCACAACCAATTCAATTACCTGTCGAATTCGGACAGGATGGCCTTCCAGGCCTTTTTCATTGTGATTATAGTATTACAGGGAATGTCGTCGCAGCCATATCCAAGCTCAAGCCTCCAAAGAGGGAAGCATACGGGAGGTGCACCCACCAGCAGGTGCGATACCTGCTGCAGCAGGTGGGCGATACCGGCCAGGGGTCAGCCGATAGCATCAGGACCGAGCTTCTTCCATGGGTCTGTCAAAATTCCATGGGTCTGTCAATGTGCCTCCCCTCCGGTCCCCTTCCACTCCGGTCCCCTCCCCCTACGAACATCAGCAGTCTCTTCTCAACGCCGTTCGGGGGGACCAACGGCATAACTCTAGGTGGCAGGCACCAAGCTTACCCAGGAAGGTACATGAGGCCAATGGGGATTGAGCCCAAGACCTCTTGAATGCCACTTGCCTGCCTTACCAACTGAGCTAGGTACATGAGGCCAATGGGGATTGAACCCAGGATAATTACCTCGCCAACTATCTTAACTGAAATTTCGGAGGGAAATAAAACTTCGGAGAAAGACCGGCATACTCCAACGGACTTTCAAGCGAAGAGAGAAAAAAGGAAAAAAGCATCCATGGGTCCTTCGGGACATCCGATACACAGAAGATTAGCATGGCCCTTACAAAGAAGGAAAAAGTCGACATCGTACCTACAGTAGTACTTATAAATCCATGCTTTCTGTCCTCAGGCCCATCCGTGCACGCACAGATCAGAGCCAAAGAAAAATATTGATTTTTCAACAGAAACTCTCTCTCTCTCTCTCTCTCTCTCTCTCTCTCTCTCTCTCTCTCTCTCTCTCTCTCTCTCTCTCACACACACACNCTCTCTCTCTCTCTCTCTCTCTCTCTCTCTCTCTCTCTCTCTCTCTCTCTCTCTCTCTCTCACACACACACACACACACACACACACACACTCTTATCTGCACACCTTTTCAAGAGGGTTTTCAAATCACTGTCATCATCCGCACCACCATCATCTCTCTCTCTCTCTCTCTCTCTCTCTCTCTCTCTCTAACACACACACACAGATCCGGACACCTTTCCCAAAAAAAAAGGGTTAAGGAATTGTAGTCATGGTCATCAACACTATCTCCTCAGCAGGAGTACATTCAACGTGCAGAAAAGAAAAACAAAACAAAAAGTTCGCAATCGGGCCAGTTTCAAAATGTTGTGCGCAATCGGGCCAGTTTCAAAATGTTGTGCGCAATCGGGCCAGTTTCAAAATGTTGTGCTGATCTAATATTCTCATCATCTTCTGGGTGGATCTCTTTCTCAACATCATGTGCTGATTCGTGTCGGCAGTGTGACGAGTTGCGTGTGACAGCTGTTCGTCATCATCATCAATCTTCATCACCTTCCAGATCGTCATCCTCTTCTCTTTCATCGGGAAGGTGTCATGAGCAGTTTCAAAATGTTGTGCTGGTCTTAATGAAACCTTGTTCATAGGGAGGCTATGAACAAGGTTTCATTAAGACCAGCCACGTGGCAATGAATGCCCTATTTGCGTTCCCCGCCTCCCTTTACATTGATTGAGCCTCGCTCCACTACTCGGCACAATCACAAAAGGACAAAAATATGGACATGTATCTTCCCGATGTTCTAGCGGAAATTCATTTTCATTTCGCACTTTTGGTAAATACTGGACCGAGGCCCTTTGTCATGAACGACATGCATGATTATGTGAGCCAAATAATGACCAGTTAAGTGGCAATCGTCGTCCGTCATAGCTGCTAAGCATTACCAGAATTATTGTAATAACACCAAGTCCACCTTCCAAAATTTTGCCCTTTTCTTTAAAATCCATCCATTTCTCAATTTCTGCATGCTATCATTCTCTGTATTATTCTAGCCTACTAGAGTGGGCCGGAACCCCTTACCCCGCCGGGCCAAAAAAAAACTTGAAAAATAAAAAACGTGTTGGAATTTTTTATGTTTTAAAATTTTGGTAAAAATTTAGATGTGACCCTGATGCCAAAGTTGTTCAGTTATAAAAAATAAAAAAAATAAAAAAAAGTTGTTCAGTTTTTCTGCATAACATAGCTTTTTTTTGGATTTCTTGGATTTCTTTTTCTGTTTTGCTACCAGAGTGGCCTGGGATCCGGCCGGGCCAAGGAAAAATACTCTGAACAGGGGGAGTTATAAGGAAGAAGATAAAAAATTGAACTCAATTTTCCCTGGTTTTCTTTTCTCCTTTTTTCTTTTTTTCGCATTTGCGCTCTGATATTCATGTGACA